AGTGCAAGTGTTAATGCCATGCCATGCGCCTTTTAAAGCAAATCCTTTTCATGCTCCTTTAAAGATCACCATCTTTCAATAAAATTTGCAATCTCAACTTATTTCAAAACTTCTAATTTTTAATCAATAGAGGCGGTAAATACGACACTGGTAATCCCTAGGCTAGTGACTGCAAGTAGACTCTACAAGTATTACCAAATTGTCATTTTTACTGGTATTAACTGGAAGGCTCGACACCTATCCGTGCGATTTTCTGATCTTTCACCATGGACACTCAGGCCAACTTATTAAGTTCAACTACACCCCTTATCCGGACTTACCACGTATTTACCCCATACACAATACCATAGTTCTCATTACAATATAATCTTTATTCAAAGTAAACATTTTCCAACACATGTCAAGATGTACAACAATGACAATAATTCGATTGAAAATGGAATGCAAATAATTACTAACTCATAGCATTTCTTTATTTCAAAATGTCTCAAAAAAAGAATATCCACAATCACCTTCGCAATTATCCCTTTCAATGTTCCTTCACAAAACCACCATATGTCATAAACACATATTTACAATTTCTCATTTCATAAGCCTCAATAATCAAGTCCCTTCAAGATTTCATATGATGTTTCCACATATTAATCTCCAATGGTTACAATTCTCATAATCCATGGTGTACCACAATTTCCATTTACAACATTACATGTTCAAGTGTTAGTGACAATGTTAAAATGACATCTTATTTCTCAAACATCAAGTAAATTGCCATTTTGCTGAACATTTGATGAAACTTGCTCTCATTCATCTCCTTGACACAAGAAAACAAATAATTCCTAGGGCATTTTCCATTTTTCCAAAATCCCAATTTCTAGGGTTTTCATTAAAAACAAACCTTCCCCATTTTCCAAGAGAAACTCCATCAACTATTTTTCATGAGTTTAATAGAGGGCTCAAGAAATAGTAAAAAGATTGAGTTACAAACCCACATTCAAAACTCTCTACATTTTGAATCAAAATCTAAAACCAACACAAAACTTCAAGAACATTTTTAAATCAACATCAATATGGCAAAACTCGTATATATGACTCAAGAAATCCCTACCTCAAGGTGTTGATGATGAAGAGAAGATGGAACCCTAGCTTTTGATGGAAGATCCTTCAACCTCTACCACACCAAGTGAGATCCTAGCTTTTGATCTTCAAGATTAGAGAGATGATGATGATCTACACCCAATGGATAGCAAGAATCAAAGGCTTTTAGTGTTTTGAAGAGGGTTTCTAGAGAGAAGGAGGAAAATGTGGTTTAGAGTGAGGGAGACACACCCAAAATGTGATACAACTTCGGCCAAACGAGTAAAAAAAATAGAGATTTCGGACTGCCAGAGTGTCGCACGTGCGGTACCCAACCCCGCACGTGCGGCCCTTACCCCCGCACGTGCGGTGGTCCAGCCGCACCTCAGCCCGCACCTGCTTTTTAGGCAGTGTACAACTCTTCCAACTCGCTCCTATCCGCACATGCGGCCTCATCCCCCGTACGTGCGGCCCTAGCCTAGCAGCCCAGAAAAATTCCGCTTCGCTCCTAGGCACTCCGGACCTAACCTGACCCCGCACCTCTCGGAACTAGTGAATTTCAACACCGACACATAAAACAAGAACGAAAGCTTTAATTGGAAATAACTTCCGAATGTTTCAAACCCAACAGAAACAAAAGAGGACGAAACCACAGAGAAGGAAAAAAAGAAAGAGAGAAAGAGAACCGGCCGTCACACTCCCAATCAACCGGTAATTTGATGAAAATTTGGCGTTAGAATGCTTGATATCAGATGAAATTTTTAACCCAAATCTTTACTCAAATTTAATGGAAAAATAAAATAATACGTGTTGCAAATGCTCTTTAACCTTTGAAAATTATTACATATTATAACTATGCTTTGTAAAAATCAAACAAAAAGATTTAAAAATTTATTATATATTAAAACCTTAATATTCAACTCTTTAATTACTACGTCACTTTTGTGAGCCCCAATTCTTGGATAAAGGTCCTTCAGAAATAATTAGCGAATACTGCCAAGTCAGAAATGCTACGGATTACACATAAAAATTTAAATATTATTCAAAATTTTACATGAATGACACAAATTTATTTTATATGTGAATAGGAATGACAATGGGGTTAATGGGGTGGATATTAATTTCCTATCCTCAATCCCTTATAATAAATTTTTCTCATTCTCCATTCCCCATTTCCCATGAGTACCACTCTCCCCATTTCTTAATGGGTTTGGATTTTTCCCAACCCACTTTAATTCCCATTTTTTATTTTATTTTTATTTTTTATATTTAATGTTAACAACCACTTTTTTTTTTTAAAATTTTTTTTAAGGTTCACAACAAAAACTAAATATACCTTCAATCTTTTTTCTTTCTTTTTTAATATATTTAATGTTAACAACTTCTTCTTCTTTTTTTTTTTTTTTTGTTAACAATTTTTTTTTTTTAAGGTTCACAACAAAAACTAAATATACCTTCAATCTTTTTTCTTTCTTTTTTAATATATTTAATGTTAACAACTTTTCTTTTTTTCTTTTTTTTAAGATTTTAGCTAAATATACCTTCAATCTTTTTTCTTTCTTTTTTAATATATTTAATGTTAACAACTTATTTTTTTTATTTTTTTTATTTTGTTTTAAGGTTGACAACAAAAGCTAAATAATTTATTAATGTGTTTATTTTTTTTTAAAATTCAAATATCAAAAAAGGTCGAAATACGCATGACGCCTACTAATGTAGTCTCTCTCTCTCTCTCTCCTATTCTTCCACCTCTGCCGGCCTCGTTCCACTTATGTTCTCTCTTTCTAATTTTTTATTTTTTATTTAAAAACTAAATTATTGATAAAAGAAAAAAAAATTGGCTGAAACAATTTTAAGACCTCACTTTTTTCTTTCTTTTTTCTTTTTGTGGAGAATATCAAAAAAATCAAAAGTAAAAAATAATTACAAAATGATGAAGATAAAAGTGATTTATGCATTTAATTATGGCAGGGTTTGGAAATGAAATTTATAGATCACTTTAGCCTCTTCAAGAAAAAAATTCAAAAAGTATTGTTGCTGACTTCCCACATGATACACAGCTGTAACGGACAAAGGGTAAAATGACGCTTTTGCCTTTTTAATTTTTGAGAAACTCACAACAACAACGATAATACACATAGGGACATTTTGGTCATTTATTATCTCTACGTTCTTTCAAACACATTTTTCAAAACATCAATCTAACAAAAAATTCAACCCATCTTCTTAAATGCAAAAACTAAAATAGTTTACTAAAATAGTCAAATAGGCAAAACCTCTAAAAAGAAAAGAGATTGAATGTATATTTAGCTTTTGTTGTGAATCTTAAAAATAAAAATAAAAAATAAAAAAAAAGATTGAATGATATTTAGCTTTTGTTGTGAACCTTAAAAATTAAAAAAAAAACAAAAGAAAAAATATTGAATGTATATTTAGTTTTGGTTGTGAATCTTAAAAATATAAAAAAAAAAATGATTGTGAACCTTAAAAATAAAAAAATAATAATAATAAAAAAAGATTGGATGTATATTTAGCTTTGGTTGTGGATCTAAAAAACAAAAGTTGGTTGTGAACCTGAAAAAATAAATAAATAAATAAAAGAAAAAATATTGAATGTATATTTAGTTGGTTGTGAATCCTTTAAATAAAAAAAAAAAAAAAACATATGGGGAAATTAGTGGGTGCCCATCCCCAACCCATCCCCTGTGGATATTTAAAGAATGAATAATGCTTGAGACCCCCTTTTGGGGGTCACCCCCTCACCCTTTTTGCCACGTGGCGGGTGGTGATTGGAGGAGCAGGAAAAAAAAGAAAAAGAAAAAGAAAATGTAACCAATAAGAGAGAGAGGGGGTCAAAGGGGGTGTGGGAAAAAGGGGGATGAATCATTATTGTTAAAGAATATCACTTACCTACCCAATGGATAAGAAAAAAAGGAAAAAACCCATATTTTTAGGTTGGGTCTCCATAGATACCCACATGGTAGGTTATTCATTGCCATCCCTATATGTGAATGTTATATTTTATCAATTTAATTTTCATTATACATACCTATTTTTGAGTAAATTATGGATTTCAAATTTGGAATCCTAATTTTTTTTTTATGCTAAACACTCAAAAAACTTAGGAAAATTACAATCAGTGTAAGTTTTCAAAACAAATTTCAAATTAATAATAAAATTTATCAATTTTAATAATTAAAATAGTAACTTTTTAGAGAATTTTACAATACGCACCTTTTATTATTGGCTGTGATTAGAACCCCCACAGATTCTCACCCCCACCGCCCCTACACACACGTGGGGGTTGGTGAGTGGGGGAGAAGAAAAAAAAATAAAACAAAATTTTGACCAATCAAAATTCAAAAAGGGTCGTGGGGGTGACTTTCAAAGCGGGTCGCAGCCTTTTTTCTTTTATTATATACACTCTTAGTAGCGTTACCTTTTTCTTTAATTACTATATTATTTTAAATATTTAGTTATACGAAATGTAGTATTTGATTATATATATATTTTTATTATAAAGGGTATACTTCCAAACTTTTTCATAATTTAGTAATGTATTTTTGTTCATCATACCACATATTTGCAATTAAGGCTTTGTTTGGAAAATATGTTGACTTTTTAACTTTTTTGATTTTTTTAGCTTGGGCTAAAAAATTTAGTTTGGAAAGAATTTTTTTAACTTTTTGACTTTTTTTGTGAGAGAAAAATGTAATGATTATGAATTAAATTTGATATTTTATTTTTTGTGATTAAAATAATTTATTTTATCTTTTATGACTTAAAAAAAAAGAAAAAAAAAAAAGAAAAAAAAGCCCCAAATCCATCTTACCGAACGGAGCCTAAATGTCATGGATGTGGGACCACATAATCTGACGGCCGTAAAACAGGAGGAAATAAAAAAAGAACACAAAGAAAAGAGTATTCAGTTTTCCACAAAACAACCCATCGACGATCGTGAGAACGATCTCTCTCTCTCTCTCTGGGCTCACCAGCGATCGATTCCTAATACGTACTGATTGATATTCAGAGTCTCGATTCTCCACTAATTCAAAACCCTCTTTTTCCCAAAAAAAAACAAAAAAGAAAAAAAACAAAACAAAAAACTCTTCAATATTCGAAACTTCATCGGAGAAATTGAGAAGAAATTCGTATGATGTATTTATATCTATAAGTTAGAGATTTCTGGTAATGGGTTTGGAAGATTCTGATATTCTCGACGATTGCGATGGCAAAGCCTCGTCCGTGTCGTGCTCGATTTGCCTGGAGCCTGTCACCGATAATGGGGATAGATCCTGGGCAAAGCTTCAATGCGGACATCAATTTCATCTGGGTAAGTCATAAATTTCGAGTCTTTTTTTAATGTGGAATTATGTGTTTGTAATACAATCGGTTGAGATCTGATTGAATAATATTATTAGTTGATGATGTCTCTGTTTGGATGGGGTGATTTGGTGAGAAAATGATAAACAAATGATGAGAAAGACAACTCTTTTTCTCATGTTTTGGTTGAGTGAGAAATGGTGAGAAATAGACAACTCTCTTATTAAGCTTATATTTCATTTCTCTATCAAAAGTGGTCAGATTTGGTTGATACTAACATCACTGAATATTGTTATGCCTAAACCAGTTAGTTGAATTATTGGGATACATGATTTTTGTTTTATTGTTTGACAGCTATAATGAAATTTATGTTTGATTAAGATTTTTATTGTTTTAGATCAGATGGGTTTGAGGATTAGGAATACTATGTGGTTGGAAGAGAAGTAATGTTGGGCATAAGATATATATATATATATGGCGTTGCTGGATTGATTAGTGTATTTTTTAATGGTGGAAGGTAATGTGAAACAGTAACATGAAGGATGATCACATTGAATTCAGTTGCACAGACTTTTGAGTTCATTTGGTAATGGTTTGGAAGGTAAGAAGTTGTAAGGAGTGCATTGATTTTCGTGAAATTGAGTGAAGAAGCTTTTACACTCCATTTGGATGGTGTGATTTGGCGAGAAATGATGAGAAAGAGAACTCTTTTCTCATGTTTGATTTATAAGTTGAGTGAGAAAGGATGAGAAATTGTGAGAAAGAGAACTCTAATACTTGCTTATTTCATTTATCACCAAAAATGGTGAGATTTGGTGAGAAACAAGTTGATTGGTTGTAAAATATTTATAATACCAACTACCAAGATTGCCCCTTCAAATACAACGAAGGAAGAAAAAGAAATCTCATTCATATCTCGTTCTCAAATGCTTTGCTTTCTCACTCATCTAAACATGATAGTGAGAATACACAATAATTTCTTTTCTTTTCTCACCCTTTAGTGTGATAGGTTTTAGTTTAGTTTGTCATTTAAAATCTGCTGATTCCTTCATTGATTACTCTGATTTTTTCACACCTTCCATCCATTTTAGGTTGACATTAAATTTGTCATTCCCCTTTTTTCTTCATGACCTACCATGTTTGTGCTCTTACTAACAGTATACTGAATGAAAATGACATTATAGTTGAATTACCACCCTTATAAATGCGTCACAGTGGCATTGTTAAATGGGAAACTCAGTATGAGGCTAGTTATTAGCCATGTGTGTGTGGTTTTTTTTTTTTTTCCTTTTTTTCTTTTTTGAAATGAGTAATAAAAAATTTGACCAGCCAATGAAGTTGAGCTATTTTTAGTATGTAATTGAAGCGAAGTGAAAAAGTGTAGAATCAAAAAGGGGTTCTATGCGTGTTGTTGGGGCTTTTGGCTTTTTCAGCACTAAAAACAGTAACTGAATTTGGGCGTGAGAGCCTCATTTGCCAATGTTCAGTAGTTGATTTGTAATTATCTGATAATAGTTGCTAGCAAGATATTCCACATCAATCTCAACAAACTCATAGAATTTTGTCGATGCAGTAATGGTTGATTACTATTGAAGGCCTTGAACATCACTAAATTGACATTTTCTAGATGATTTGAATGAGCGATGAGGGTGCATGCAAATGCGTTAAGTCTGTGTGTAATCATCTATGAAGCATGAGTACTTCGAAAAACATGCCGTACCCGTACTGGATACTTACTGGCGTATGGTACTTTGTATGGTATTTCTGCATACTTAAATTTTTTTTTCTTAATTTTTAGTGTACTCATACGTACCTAGTATATACCCAAACTGTACCATACGTCAGTCGAAATAATATTTTCTTTTACGATAGAGATAAAATTCCTTTCACTATATTTCTTTTTTATTTTTAGTTGTATGTTTAGTATGATTTTAAAATTAAGCTATGGTTTGTAAGTTATTTAATATAATGACATTTAATTTTGGTTGATACTTTTACTTTTGACATTAAATGTTAATTGTAGGTTGGATTTTAACAAATTAAACCATTTAATCAATTTTTACATTACTTCAAATAAAAAATAAATATTTTTTTATAAACGTACCAAGACATACCTGTATCCTACTTTTTTTGGATTTTTCCATATCGACGCACCCCTATCGTACCAATATTAGTACTCATATCCGTACCCGTACTCGTGCTTCATAGGTAATCATATATCACATTTAGAAAGTAAAGCTTTAATTTTAGGCTTGATCTTCTTCTTCTTCTTTTTTTTTTTTTTTTTTTAAGTTAAATTTTAGTCTTGATCTAGGGAAGCACGACACTTGTAAGGTGTTGTGTTCGTTTTTTTTTTTTTTTTTTTTTTTTTTTGAAGTTAAATTTTAGTCTTGATCTAGGGAAGCACGACACTTGTAAGGTGTTGTGTTCGTGTCTGATATTGAATTGTTAATCACTTCCCGACACGTATTGGACACACATTCAACCTTCTTATATTATATCTTTCCTTCATTTTTAGAACTGGACATGCTTCAAATACTGGTTCACGCAAACACATTGCAAATTTGAAGAAAATAGCTTGAGATCCAATGATTAATTAAAAATAAAGTGGATTTTTGCCTATTAACCCCTCTTTTATACTTTAATTAATAATTTTAGGAATTTTAAAGCCCCAAACTTTCAATTAGTTTTGAATATAATTTTGTGAAATAGATATTATCACTTTGTATTCACATTTTGTTTCTATTAGATAGAATTTAGAAATGATTTCTTTCTTTTTTGATAGAATAAAATATGATGTGTTTGTGATGTAAAAATTGAAGAAATGATTACTATTTTCATTTATATATATAATATTTATTTGTTGTCATATCTTTACTTTTTTTAAATTTAATGTCGATATGTTTCTTTCTTGTCATATCCCATGTCTGTTTGTGTCAATAGCAATCTAACATTCAACAATCCATTTAACTTATATTTACAAAGAAAAAGGTTTCGACATTTCCTTTCCAGAGCATTGAATAGACTACCTTTTTCAAGGAAAAAATTCACTTTATCCTTTTGTGGTTTTGCCTCGAAATACTTTAACCCATGCCATTTAGCCAAAGGTCCCTCCCTCGTATAATTTTGGTAATTTTGCACTTTATTTCCTTATTGTTAAAAATTCCATCTAAAATGGTAGTGTGTTATTATACGAGCCCATTTGGAGAGTTTGACATGAACATAATGAATCAAAATAAAAATTGAACTTCAAAGCCAAAAGGACAAATGTACCCTTCACTTTCGTCACTTCCTGAAAACCCTAGCCCATACATTACCATTAAAGGACATAGAGATGTTTGTGATGGTTGGAGGACACGATTCCAACCTCTTGAATTCAGATTCATCTATTAAAGTACACTAAGAATATAAGGGAGAAAATTCTTACAATTAGTTATGTTTATATGTGTGTATATGTACGCGGTCACACCCCACCATCAGACCATCTCCAGCCACCAACAATTGCCATCAACCACTTACCTTGCAACCCCTTTCCTCCTCCTCTCTATGCCACCATCCTCTCCTTTCACCCACCACCCCCGCCATGCCCTATCACCTTCACAACCACCTCCCACCAACCACTTTCCCCCACTTAGCCCAGCCCTACCGCTAGCCCCTTCCCTCACCCACAACCCTGCCATTCTATGCAAACCCACTCAACACCATTGCCATCAAATGCACATTTCACTCTTGAAAATCCCTCTTTGTAACTGAATTTCTCGGTAATTTGTTTCCTAAAAGCCTGTTTTGCTATATATATACATGTTTATGTATATATACAATGTTTTATATGTATATGTATAATTAAGGTGTGATTTTATTAAAACTTAGAAATTCGCTTACCCTAAAAGGGGGAAAGTGGATTTTGCCTTTTTATTTATTTCATGAAGAAGGTGAGCCTTGTTTGTATTTAGATCACCTTTGTTTGCTGGAATGGGATTAGGGTGATAAGTAATATGAGGGACCCACACCATGGGATTGTACACTATGGGATTGTTTGATTGGTTGAATTATAGCATAGATTGATATTATTAATCCAGAGACTCACATTCTAGTGTTTAGTTACAATTTTTGTTATTTAGACTAGTTTCTGATGGATATTCTATCCAACAAAATTTGTCAATTTTTTAATCCTACAACTAATAATGCAAAACAAACATATAATTTGGATTATATTATTCCATATTGATTGCAAAACAAACGTGAACAAGAGCAGATTATTTATCTCGCTAATCCAGCTAGATAACTAATCATATACCAATTTCATAGATTATTAATCCCCCTCACAAATAATCCTGCTAATCAAACACGACCTATGGGACAATGGTTGGGTTTATATATACTGCGAGATTATTGTATTCCAGTGGGATAAAATTTGGAGGATTATTTTTGGCCGTTGGATAGAGGGAGGGAGATACACAAAGATGGGGTATTATTTATACAAGAGGGGTGTGGTATTAGTTATCCCAAGGATTGGTAGTCTGATCGGACTAGAATCCTACCCATTTTGGCCAAACAAACATGGGATATAGTGGGTCTAGGGGATGGGGGATGGGGGCAGGTGGGGTTCATGCCCTAATCTTGTTTCCTTATCCTGCCTTGGCAAAACAAACACAGTTATTGTAGATTTCAAAATTTTCTATTTACATACACGTATGCTTCCAAACAGAGTGGTAATTGTAAAGGTTGTGTGGGTGGTTTGATAGGGGCAAAGCTGACCTTGTCTACAACTAAAGATGCCATTTGGTTGTGTTTAACTAGCTGGCTATTTGAGTTCAATCACCACATTGTAGTATGATAAATGGAGTACTTAGTCAAGAAGGCAATGCAAAACTGAATATTGGTCCACCGGATTCTTGAAGCTGCATCAAATGATTGATTTGATATTTGTGTGTTGTTTTCAACCCCCACATATCCTAGATCTGAATGTTTGGATCTTTAATATTTTAGAGCTCTTCTGTCATTGCAACATCAAGAAGCAACTACTAGAATAGATAAAGCTTGTACACACAACAGAGAAATCTTTTGATGAATTGTTGCTGGCAAGCCTCAAGAATATCTTTTTGTCTCGATGGCGCTGTGTAATTGAGATGCTGTAGCTTTATGGGGGAACAACTATAAATTGCCACATGTGGGGTAAAAAATATTGATAAGAGAAGGTGATGTTTGTTTTTAACTTCCATCGTGTATGAGGTGTCATGTGTTCCTTCAGCTGCAAGAATGAGAACACTTGTGTGACCAAGTTGGGTTCTATCCTGACGTTTTTAACTTTAGAGTTTAATTATACTTCTTTTATTACAAAGGCTAACTTATAGGCCTGTTTTAGCGCTTTTTCAAAGGCAACTTGTTAGGTTGACTTTGGGAAGGCTACTAAGGACTTGGTGAAGAATGAAAAATGCCCACTAAGAAGTAATCTTGTGATATCAAGTAATCTGGAGGGGTTTGTCTGTGTGTTTTAAATGTAACTTTTAGTTCAATGTTGCTCCTTCCCTTGTAGTCTGCCTGTCTGTAGCCAATCTTTCCAATCCATAAAGAACCTTTTTAAAGCCACTATCCTATTGCAATGGAGATCTTGGTGTTTGAAAAATTTTTCTTTGTACAGGAAATGATGTGAAGAAACAACGGCAAAATGCTTAATTGTATATTGGTGTTATAGTAGCTCAACTTTGTATACGGATGGGTGTTTATTCACTTCCCCTTGTCCTCATGCTTCTTGGTTGTTGCACTTTGTTTTTTTTTTAGGGGTTCTTCCTGGAATTGGAATTGCCATTAAGTTCTTTTTAACCATAAAAACTAAAATAAAATAAAGTTATTTTGAATAACACTCTATGTTACATGGGCTCGGGTATGAGTGTTGGGTGAGGTGCGTATCTAGAGGTCGAACTCGTCAAATCTCAAATTTAAAGGTACGTGGACTAGGCAAAAAAGTCATTTTTATATTTTTATTTATTATGTGAGATAAAATTACTCTATGTAACATCAAAAAGGTGTTTTATAGTAATTGCACAACAAATGATACATGTAAGATAGTATTAAATACAAATATGTGAGAAGTGTTCAATGAAAAGTATTGGATCAGACACATATCTCATGACCTTGTCCGAGTGTTGGGTGTCCGACATGGGTATTTGATTTATTTTTAAGAGTCCATATAACAATATAGATAACTCCTTGTTTGGTTTTCAAACTAAAATACAGTTTTTGAATTTTTTGTTTTTTGTGTTGTTTTGTCCTTAGTAAACATTTTCATATTTTATTAGTCAATTTTTTTAAAAAAAAATTGTATGCACATACCAACTTTTTAAAGGCGATTGCGTACCTCGAGATGTTTTACCCCTCATGAGGTGAGTCGTAAGCCTCAGGGCATTGAGGCGTGAGCATTTCAAATAGGAATGGCAACGGGGCGGGGCCGGGGATCACCCTCCCCGTCCCCGATCCCCGATGGTGGAAATTCTCCCGACTTCGACCCCGATCCCCGACGGGGAACCCACTACCGGCCCCATTCCTGCCCCTAACGGGGATCGGGTTTCCCCGACCCCGAAAATCCCTGGCCAAAAAAAAAAAAAAAACAATTCATCAACAACAACATCAACAATTTGAGCTCAAATATCAACATCTCCAACAGATCTGAGCTCATCAACATCTTCATCTCCATCATTTTCCAGATCTAAAGAACAAAACCAAAAACAAGAGAGAGAGAAGGAGATCCGTGAGAGAGAGAGAGAGAAGGAGATCCGTGAGAGAGAAAGTGAGACGGAGATACCATGAGGGAGATGAGCCGGCGGTGAGAATGAGAGGAAGCCGGCGGTGAGAACTTGAGAAGGAGCCGGCGGTGAGAACTTGAGAAGGAGCCGGCGGTGAGAACTTGAGAGGGAGCCAGCGATGAGGGAGAGCTACGGTTGTTCGTGAGAGAGAGAGAGAGAGAGGGAGGCCACTGTTATGTTGTTGGGTCAACACACACACACACATATATGTATATAAACACACAACACACGCATATATACTTATATATAAATAAACATGATCACATATATACTTATATATAAATAAACAGATCGGGGGGTTGAACGGGGACGGGGCCGGGGTTGGAAAATGTATCCCCGTCCCCGGCCCGAATATCATCGGGGATTTAGTTTTAAATACCATCCCCGGCCCGTCGGGGATATTTTTCGGGGAAAAACCGTTCAATTCGGAGTCGGGGGGTCGGGTTCCCGTCGGGCCAGGTTGAAATTGCCATCTCTAATTTCAAATCTCAAATTTTAATATTTAGTAAATAAATTAAATATTTTAAAATAGTAAAAAAAATAAAAACAAAATTAAATATAACGGTGTAAATACTTTTTGCCTTAAGGTGTTGAACATTTTACTACATAGAAGGAAGTTTTCATTCACTGAAAGTGAAATTGATATTCTTAATTTTAGTGATTGAGCTTCTCATTTGACAATTAAATGTGTTTTTTCTTGATTGATCATTTACTTAATTTTTTTTGGAGAATATAGTTGCAAAAAGAGATTCTTTTTATTTTATTTTATTTTTTATGTTTAAACGATCTAACAGACTAAGTTTAACAAAAACCCTAGGCAACCTCTGCATGCCCGTACTCCTCACATGCTTATGCGCAAAAAGCACACAAAGCGCACCTAAGGCACATGTCTCAAAATGTGATGCGCAAGCCTTTGGGGAGTAATGCCTAAAAATCAAAGCCTTGATGCGTTTTACCTTAACCTCAAGGCAAGACGAGCATTGAGGCGAGCCTTAGGAGAGCCTTTTAAAACTCTGGATGCACCTAAAAGTAAAATATTTGTTAAGAAACTTGAAAAAGATCACTAAAGATGAATAAAACAAAAAACTGAAAACTGAGACCGTTTCATATTTTTTTTGGTCTTTAGTGAATCTTTTTTAAAAAGATTCGTCGTAAATATTTTACTTTTTAGGTGCATATTGATTAGATGCATTTGAAAAGTAGAAAAACAGTTGACTAAAATATGAAAAAGAAGTTCACTAAAGACAAAAAAAATATGAAAAGCAAAAAATTTAAAAACAGTTTTTAGAAGCTAAACCAAATAGGCTGCAATTAGCTTTTCAACTAAAGGGGATTGACACTTGAGGACTTATTTTTCAATTAAGCTTCTCGTGAAAGAAAGGTTAGAAGTCTATTAAATTTACACTAAAATGGGAATTCTAGAGATATGTCTTACAATGTTGTGCATTCTTGCACAATAAATTATTTTTATTTTTTTATTTTTATTTTTTTATCATTGGGGTTAATGAATCTCCAATATTGAAGGTTGTTAATTGCTATGTTTTGATTTGGTCAAGGTCTTGGATCAATTTGAACGTCAACCAAAATTACCAAAAACGTTGGGCTTGTTTTGTTTGTGTTTGTAGAGTAGTTTTTGAGATAAAAAGTACGAAAACTTGTTTGGTTTGCCTTTTTTCAGAAATGGTTTTGGAAAATTGTTTTGAGGAGAGTTTTAAGAAAAGTGATTGATTTGATGTGTATGAGAGAGAGTGATTTTGGAAAGTAGGTAACAAAACAAAATTTTGAGATTTTTTTTGAAAAAATATGTTTGGTTTGATTACTCTTAAAAATTTGTTTATAGAGAATTTTTCTCAAAATTTTTTCAGAAAAACAAACCAAACAAGCCCATTATTTTTAAGAAATTTAGGTTTTCTTTTTTTTTTTAAAAAAAAAAAAAAAATTAGGAAATTTAGGTTATTATATACATTTTCTTTCCAATTTTAATTTTAGCCATTAGTAAAAAAATTTCCCTCCCTCATTTTTCTTTATGCGAAAATAAATAAGCAAGGAATGTAGTTAAATGTAGGCTAACTACTGAGGTGGTATTTGGTAATGTATAAAATAGGAAACAAGTTTTTGTTCTTTTGTTGTCTTTTGTTTTTGTTTTGTGTTTACAAAAAATATATATATAAAAATAAAAAAACCAAAAAAACAGAAACTTGTTTGGTGCACGCAAATGTTTTAAAAACAAATTGAAAAAAAAGAAGAGAAAAACATGTTTGGTGACTTGCCAGAGGTAAGGGCCGGCGGTGGGGGTGGCCAGAGGTGGATAAGAATCTATTCTATTATATGATGCATACTATAAATAAAGTTTGTCTAACAAGTAGCTTTTGAATGACAAACATATTTGGTACTGAAGTAATTCTGGTCTCACTTTTTTAAATATGAAATCTTTACTTATGAATAAGTATGTACATATATATATATATATTTAAGAACATTTATCTCGTCCAGAAATGATAACTTTGAATAGCATGAGTTGTCTCTGTGTTTGTTATAATTTTCAACTCAAAATCTTACTTGTGGTATTTTTGAACAATAATGCCAACTGGTTCTAATCGATAATTTCTAGCTACGTGGAACAATTCTCATGAAAAGCCGTTGAATGTTCCTTTCATTACAGTATTTCTGAACACTGCTGTAGCCGTGTGATCACATTATGACTTTGAACGAAAGGTTGTTTGCACGGCTATTGCATCGGATGTGTGCATTGAATGTAATTACTAGCCGTTTAACTGACATCTCATTCCGAAATTATGCAGCAACAAATACCCACCCTTGCAGCACTGCAAAGTTTTAAGTATTGATGTGATTCTTTATGTTTTGTGAAATTGACAGGCTGATTTGTTTGTGCATGAACAATTTTCTTTTCATGTTCCCATTTCTTAATGAATAATTGCTAACAAGATGTCTCAACTCCTGTTCTGCTCTGTTTTATGTTTTTCATGTCCTTGTCACAATTGCTTTCAGATTGCATTGGTTCTGCATTCAATATAAAAGGAGAAATGCAATGCCCCAACTGTCGGAAAATTGAGAAAGGCCAATGGCTTTTTGCGAGTGCTTGCCGACCATTTCCCGAATTTAGCATGGATGACTGGGCCCATGATGAGGATCTTTATGATCTAAGCTACTCTGAGATGGTAATAACAGGATATTATTGACTTTCAGTTTATGCAGATTCTGAAATTTTAGCTAGTCATATGTAAAACTACTTCCGTGTTATTTTTTCCTTTTGTGTGGATTGGTATTCTGATTGTCTATCTGATATGAATCGTGCAGTTAACTGGTATTTTGGGGATTCGTTCAAAACTGTTGGACCAAGACTTATCCAAAAAAAAAGTGATTGGGAAAATTATAATAGTTGAAATGCCATGCACCCAAGGTTTTAAAAAGCGGCCGCAACCGTTACATAACGCCGTTATGTAACGGTTTTGGTGATTACCGCGACCCGTTACGGCCGCTTTTGCAGTGTGATTGAAATTCACAGGTGTGTCGGCTGTAGCGGCTGCCGTAGCGGTCGTAACGGTGCCGTAACAGTCATAACGGCCTGTTACTCACCGTTACGTAACGGTTCCGAACTGTTTCTTTCGAAAAAACACACAAAAAAAAAGCTGAAAATTGCGGAAGAGGGAAGATAAAGAGAGAAGATGGAGAAGCAAGAGATAGAGAGAGAAGATGGAAGATGAACATATTATTGATTTGTTGAAACTGCAAAACCTATGCTATTGTGTGATTGAAATTCACAGGTGTGTCGGCTGTAGCGGCTGCCGTAGCGGTCGTAACGGTGCCGTAACAGTCATGACGGCCTGTTACTCACCGTTACGTAACGGTTCCGAACTGTTTCTTTCGAAAAAACACACAAAAAAAAAGCTGAAAATTGCGGAAGAGGGATAGAGAGAAGAGGAAAGATAAAGAGAGAAGATGGAGAAGCAAGAGATAGAGAGAGAAGATGGAAGATGAACATATTATTGATTTGTTGAAACTGCAAAACCTATGTTATTCTATTCAGTTGCTATCACTCAACCATTTTGTTTGTGTGTGTCTATCTATATATTGTTTGATAATAATAATAATAATAATAATAATAAATGTGATCATTATCTATTTGGCTTGCTTAAAATATGTATATATATATATATTTAGGCTCTTATTTATTCTCTTACTTTTGTTATTGTTTATTTTATATATAATAGTTAGTGATGGATTTTTTTGTATAGTATAAAGTCATTAATTATTAAAATAAAATGTAAAAAACTCAGTTTATAGTGATTTAAAAATATAAAACATATTAGATCATACTTAAAAATTTACAAAAATTGATCAATATTTATTTTAAACCTAATAAATATGATCATGGAAAAAAAATATGTGTATCGATAAGTTTTTTTTAAATTGTGCTAAAAATAAAAAAATTCACGGGTCCGGTTATCGCAACTGTTACACTGCGGCCTTTACACCCCGCAACCGCAACCGCTCTACCGCCACCGTTACGGCGACCGCAACCGCTTTTCAGAACCTTGCATGCACCCAATTGTGTGCTATGTTTAATTTGTTATTAGAACTTTATGTTCTTGAGCTGCTATTATTTTATTCGCGAGATGCAAGACTCCTTAACTCTGGCTATTGGGTTCCTCATTTGGCTTCACCCTTGTCCCGTTTAAGAAAGCTATGGAAGTGGAAGTGTTTTACCTTTTTATTTCTCATAGTATTAATCTTAACTAACACTTATATGATAAGAAGTTACATTACATTATTTTGATGACTGTTTCTGAACCTATTTGATCCTAAAGCATTCTTCAAGTGGGTATGGACCCCATTATAGTATTTCTTTCATATGTTATGTTTTCATTCATTTATAATATCGTGTTACCTAGATTTGTAGGTTAAGAAGATGCCATTTGTTTTAGCATTCATACAAACCACTTTCTCACGAGTAGCAGGGACACGTATATGACACAGACATGCTGATGTAGCAATTTAAAAAAAATGCAGGATACAACACAATGGAAGTCAAGTTGTCAATAATTAGTTACCAGGATCTGTAAATAGGGCACATTTGGACGAGTGTCCAACATGTGTTGTGAAGTGCTGATGAGTGTCATTGTGTGACAGACACACCACCTGCTTGGAAGTGTCTGTGGTTCTTGTTTTCAGACTAAAGCTTTTAATTTATTTTTATAGCTACAGAGGGAAGTTGCATGTTTTCAGGGTTCTAAAGGAGTCGAGTTGAGCTGAGTTTAAGGCTGCTCAAGAATATCTTACTGTAATTAAACCTAATGTAAACTGCTATGCCATTTTACTCTTGGCTAGTTAAGATTTACCTCTTGAAATTATGTACGTTGCTGTTTTCTAAGAAGCACGGGCATGGATATGGATGTGGACACGGGACACTAATGCGGGCACGGACATGGCGGGGACACGGCAATAAAATATATTTTCGTATATTTTTATTTTCTATCTAGATTAATATTGCATTCACAGACAATCAATATTAACAAAAAGAACTTTAATTCTATATTTTTTAAGCACTTTTAAATTAACACTTACAGTTTATATTTTTTATTTTTTTATTTTTTATAGATGATCTATTAAGTATTTAAATTTACGAAGAAAATAATAAACATTCAACATTCATCAAAAGCACTAAAGAAAATGAGGGAAAAGACAACTTGGCATGTTCCTAGTGTGTCCTCAAAGTGTCCCCTGAAAATATATTAATTAAATAAGGGGACATGACATGTGGCATGTTCCATATGTGTCCCCATTGTGTCCGCTTGTCCCCGCCGTGCCCTTGTGTCCGACACAGATACGACACTTGTTTTGAAGTGTTAGTGCTTCATAGTTTGTTTTAAATAGTACTTTAGTATCTATTTGGTGCATCTAAAATAGTTATATGTCATCTCTTAATTGAGACTGGAAGATTGAATTATTTGTCACTGGTCTTGTTTTTATCAATAGTAATTTCCATTGAAGGTAAGCCAAACAGCACTTATAAGGAGATCAATCCAACAAAAAGCTTACACCAAACTAAGGAATAAACCTAGTTCAAGAAACAAAGGAATAAACCTCAAATGAAGCACCAAGGAGAAGCTATGTATATATCAAGACACAAAATTCGTACTGCAAAGTAGAAGTTGATTAGAAGAGTTCGACAATAGAATAAGTCTGGGATAAATACATAGGCTACATCCACACAGAGGGTAAGCTATAATCACTCAAAAACAAAGACAGAAAACACAAAAACCCTCAAACCCAAAATGCCTAGGCAGTGGTGGCAGCGGATCCGGTGGCCGGAGGCAACAAACTGGTAGAGATGCAGAAGTGAAGAAGGGGTGGGATCAGATCTGGTGGGGTTGAAACCGTGTCTCCTTTTTCTACTCCTTTCAAAAGCACTTCTATCCAAATTGGATGGTGCATGTTTGAAACGAACCTACATATTTTTGGCAATTATTATTCTTTTTGTTGTTGTTGTTGTTGTTGTTGTTGTTGCGCTCTCTCTCTCTCTCTCTCCATATAATTATGTGTAAGAATATAGTTTAATTGTATTTTATTGACCACGGTTCGTTTTACCAGGTTTTTAAATGGTTTTTGCACCAAAAAAAAAAAAAAAAAGGTTTTTGCACAAATTGGATGATGCATGTTTGAACGGAACCTACATATTCTTGGCAATTATTATTATTTATTTATTTTTGCTCTCCCTCCCTCTCTTTCTCTCTTCATGTTAGTATGTGCAAGAATGTAGCTTAATTGTATTTTTATTGACCATGGTCCGTTGTACCTGATTTTTAAATGGTTTTTGCAGTCTTTCGGAGTTCACTGGTGTCCATTCAGTGGATTAACGAGACTTCCCTTATCTGTCGAGTAAGTATGATTTTCCACATTTTATTTATATAATGAGGTTTTTTCCCCACATTTTGATGCCAAAATTCTGTGATGCTGGTTGTATTTTGGTTTTCTCCATATGAAATGTTTGTTTGTGTCCATGTTTGTTGAATTTGTCTTCTTCTCATGCTGAATTATTTAGTTGATGCAGTATATATTTTCTGCTTAAACATTATATTAAGTGAGATTTTGGAATGACTTCTTTAATAATGAATTTCTGGCTGCCATTGTTATGTTCTATTTTTCAAGCAAATTTTCCTTGTAGCCTCTGCCCTTGGATTTATGGGTTCTTTCTTTGAAACATATATTTGAAAATTAATCTCACTTAATATTCATGTGACATGATTGAAGCGGTCATTCCCTTTTCTATTATTACCCTTTCTTTTCCTTTTTTTCTTTTTTCTTCCCCCCCTCTCGAACTCTCTGACTCATGTGGTCTCTAGACTTGGGGGTTCATTGAAGAAACTGTATACTTTAGATTTCTGATCTCATTAGGTCTATGTTACATGGATTCAGGTACGAGTATCTAGTGCAGGGGTGTGTTTAAACGTCAGATCTTTCTGAACCTAAATCTTAGGATAACATGTTAGGCACGTCTTAAACACACACACACAAACACACACACATTGCATATTGTATAAATACTTTCTGATAAAATTAAATAGAAATGTATTTCAAATTATATGGAAATGTATTTCAAATATATAGAATTTATCCTCTCATTTGTGTGAGAATATATAGAATTTAGCAAATGTGAGTGTCTTCTTCTTCAAACATCATTTTAAATTAGAGGATCCAAGTAAATTAGATACATGTTTCAAACATATTCCACACCCTTACCCTAGTCATATTCAGTGGACATGGGTACGTTGAGGGAGTAAAAGAGTCCATGTAACACAACATTAGGCTAGGTCCGGGTCTCATAGGAGCGCATATGCATGTTTGACATGTGTGGGACATATGCTCATCTGTGTCCTTATTTTTTTTATACCAGGAGACACATTGGTCACATGTGTTACTTTAGTGGACACTTCTTAGATACGATGGGGTCTTTAAGTATAATTTCAAATTATTTATGAGGGGTCAAAATAAACAAAAGAAATTGTTGCTTTAAGATGGGAAAAAAAGAGTTAGGGCTCTTCATTGGTCAACCTAAGAAAGGGTCAATGCATGTCCAAACAACCAAGTTTACTTTGAAGGTATAATGATGGCAAGGAAGGGTCAACTGACGAGATTTTCTAGCCATCCAAATTCACTTAGGTGCGTGTACATGGGGCTGTCATGCATCGGACAAATGCTCATCCATGTCCTCCTTATTTGCCTTTTCTTTTTTTTTTTCTGCCGACACACAATGTTCACATGTTTCCCTTTGTCCTTCACTGTTGATGAGGACACACAAGATTGATCCACAATTTTCTATTCATTGAACTTGTGTTGAGGAAATAATAATTAGTTAAATCAACTAATTAGAGGTCAATTTTGATACATAATCTTTGACTTGAAATAATTAGTGCTTGTACATCAGTAGTTTCTATCTGATCAACTCAGTGTTGACTTCCTGAATTGGGAACCTGTCACTCAAATTCAAAAGGGAGGGCGGTGTGTTTTCTTAAGGGGATTGACCTGTAATATGGGCCAACTTACAGGACGTGCCAGTGCAATTTACCCTTAATTTTACTATATTGCTGTTCATATGTCTATACTATTATTTTTTATCTGTTGGTGTATAATACAGCCTTTTGCTATATGTCATCGGGGTATTTTGGTTTTAGTTGCATTTTTTCTTGCTTTGTTCAAATAGAACCTCCACTGATGTGTTATGTTTTCCATTTTTGCAGTGAAGGGGAATTTTCATCAACTGCATGTAAGATTTTTCTCTTTCTACCTAGTTTTCTATTTGGCTCCATTGATTAGAAAGAAAAAATGGACAGTGAAAATGATAGAAAGTAAAGCGAAAGAAAGAAATGAAAAGGAAAATATATTTTCTTGCAAGTATTTGCTTAGGATGCAAATTTTGCAAAGAAAAAGAGAAATTTGATATTTTAATTACAGGTACCCCTTGCATGGACAAATTTGAATTTTCTTGTGTTATTCTACGTCTTTTTTCAGCAATTAAAAACTTAATTACACAGCTAATATGGGTTGTACAAGAAAGTTAACTTTCTTGTAGCTTTTCCATCACTTTCATGCTAAACAAACTGAAGAAGGTTTTTTTTTTGTTTGTTCTCTCTCACTTTCCACCTGTTTCATTCTAAAAACTCTCTTTAAGTTTCATCTGACGGAGGCTTTTTGACCTAATGTAATAGCTTTTGGTTTTATGTAGATCACGATCTTATTGGACAGCATCCTATCTTTGCCGAGCATACAGCTGTATCATCTTCTACTCATCCTTGCCCATATATTGCTTACCTTGGACCAATTCACCCCTCATTGTCAAATTCCGGTGGGAGTGTTTCAGATGGTTCTAGCTTCAATAATCACTGGAATGGGCCGTCAGTTCCTAGTGAGATGCCCGCTTCTTATCCTTTTCCGGCCGTGGATGTCCGTTATCACAGTTGGCAGCACCATTCCTCTCCCTTCCCTACATCAAGCAGCCATGTTGGTGGTGCTGATCAGTCTTTGATTCCATCTGTGACTCAGAGGGCAGCTAGACCGAATTCTGATATACCAAGATCAGGATCTTTTATGCATCCATTCCTTGTGGGCCACAGGTAAGCACTTGATAAGTCAATTGTTGTGTATTTTTGTGTGTTTTTAGTATTTGGTTGGTTTTAAAATGTCAAATGGAAGATAGGATGTTTTGTTTGGTGTGTGTTTAACGTTTTCAATTAGAAGCTAGTTTAAATGATTAAAAAGCAAAGGAACTATTTTGTGACATTAAAAATTAAGAGAAAATTGTGTTTTAGTGAGAACAACAACTCAAAATGATTTCACTTTCATGGAGGTGCAAGTGTGCAAGTGAGAGCTATCACACATGCCACAACAGCTTTCACTTGTACTGGGCACAAACTGACTTGCACCTCCATGGAAGTGCAATTATTTTGAATTGTTCCCGTTAAATGTATTTTCCAAAAAATTAATCAGTAGCTGGTTGGAACTCGAAAGCAAGGTTTGAATACCATGAAGGAGCAAGTTCTTGAGAGAAAATGCGCATTTCAACACTAACCCAACTGGACCAATGGGGTAGCCCGTTGGTCAGAACCCCCTCACTAGGAGGTTAGTAATTCGAATCTACCCACTTGCGTGTGGGTTTTTTTCTCCCATTTTTGAAGTTTGTATATAGTATGTGTTGTATTTGATCTTCATCATCATTATAATTTATTGGCCTTCATTTCTCGACTCTATTAGTACTTACCGGTATTGCTTTTTTGTAGTTCTGCTGCTAGAGCTGGGAGCTCAATAGCGTCTTCAATGATACCTCCTTACCCTGGCAGTGTGGCTCGGGCCCGTGATCGCGTCCAGGCTCTCCAGGCATACTTTCAGCAACCCACCAATTCACCACCCGTACGCATGCCCATCATGTCTGGCACGCGGAGATCTAGCAGTCATAGGGGCGTGACTCAAGTTGGACCAGTGGCCTCATCATCTGATCAGACTGGTGGCTTCTACTTCTTCCCGCCAGCTTCGTCTGGTCGAAATTTCCCAGAAGCAGAAAATCATCCAATGTCAAATCGCTTCCATGCGTGGGAAAGAGAGCACGTGACTTCATTCCCGTTGAGCCAAGGCGACAGAGATCTGGGTTGGGGCCCATTTCATCAGGCGGGTGGTGGGTCAGATACTGCCATCAGATCTACTAGCTTTCGCCAGAGGTATGCATCTGAGAGAATGCCACCACAAAATCGGTCATAGATGACTTAATATTCTGCTTTGGTGAAGAAAACAATGAACACTATGACTGAAATCAAAAAGTTATGTATGTTTGAGAAAGGATATATAATGCTTGGCGTCAATGACGAACTCAATACTGTGGTGTGGCCCTGAAAATATCAATTTTTGGTAGCCATGCGCCTGTGTGCTGGACTGGCTTCCTCTTGTTTCTGTGCCCTGGGGATGATATATATATATATATAAATAACATTGCATTGCATGTTCAATGGCAGAATTTCAAGGCTTATTATAGCAATTGGGCTTTCCTTGTCTCATACAAGTGACCTAGGTACCTTGATGGAGTAGTGAAATTCCCAGTGACCTGGTAAAATGTTTTTGGGATGGTCATCTAGTGCTGTCCAAAACTTTAATGGTTGAATGATTTTATTTAAGTGGACATTCAAATATCTGAAATTAGATATGCTTCTCAGTGTCTATTTTATTTTATTTTATTTCGGAAGTCCTCCCAAGGGTTAGATTTCTACGTTAATCATGAACTGATCTCTGTTTCAAGTAAAGTTTTCCATCTATAACGTTGTTATTAGTTGTTTTGCCAACTCTCCTGTGAGTAAAGGACTACTATTAGCATCCATACCCTCTCTACAGGATTTTGTTTTCAATAAAAAAGTTTGTGTTGAGCTTTTTTTACGGATTATTTATTTGTCGTCCGAAGATGCTGAGAATCTTTGAAGAACAGTAGAGAAACCACTCAAAGCAACACCAATTCATTGGTTAGATATGCAGCAAAAGCTTGAAGGGTAGGACAATATGAGGACATATTCCTAGCAGGTTATATCTGATTACAGCTTTTGCTATGGAGATGAATACTTCTACTTTACTTTCTTTTCTTTTTTTTTCTTTTTTCTTTTTTTTGGGTGGTAAATACTAGCTAAACTAGGTTTTATATATATAGAGAATATATATCTGTTAACCTGTAGATGCAATTGGTGTTCCCTGTCTTGTTGAGCAAAAGATTCCCCACTTCTCATTTTCTATCTGTATCTCCTCTCTTCAGCTAAAAGAGAGGTTTGCAAGGTTAGTCATTGGTGATTCTAATTTTTCTCAATATCTTTTTCTTCCTCTCAAATCTGGATTTTCTAGAGTAATTTTTCCTGAAGTGAACCTGATAATTTGAACTCACTTTTTGTTTATTTACTAATGCTCCATTTGTTTTTTTTTTTTTTTTTTTTTTCACATTTTCTGATATTTTGTACAACAGAAAATGAATGTTAAACTAAAAATATATCTCTGTTTTTTTCACATGTTTACCATTTCGTACAACGAGAAATGAAAGTTGACTAAAAATATTTTCCGTGGAGAACGAAAAAGGAACTTTCGGAGGAACATTTTCCATGTTACCAACAAGATCATCACCACCACCCTGCTATCATCTACCATCTCCATTACAACTACGGCCACCATTAATACAATCACTATCACCATTAGTTTCAATATCACAACCAAATGTAAGAAAAGCATGTTCCGGCAAAACAAATAGAATGCTCAGATGCTCATTTTTTTTATTTTTTTATATTAAAAATGATTTTGATATATATCTGTTAACCTGTAGATGCAATTGGTGTTCCCTGTCTTGTTGAGCAAAAGATTCCCCACTTCTCATTTTCTATCTGTATCTCCTCTCTTCAGCTAAAAGAGAGGTTTGCAAGGTTAGTCATTGGTGATTCTAATTTTTCTCAATATCTTTTTCTTCCTCTCAAATCTGGATTTTCTAGAGTAATTTTTCCTGAAGTGAACCTGATAATTTGAACTCACTTTTTGTTTATTTACTAATGCTCCATTTTTTTTTTTTTTTTTTTTTTTTTTCACATTTTCTGATATTTTGTACAACAGAAAATGAATGTTAAACTAAAAATATATCTCTGTTTTTTTCACATGTTTACCATTTCGTACAACGAGAAATGAAAGTTGACTAAAAATATTTTCCGTGGAGAACGAAAAAGGAACTTTCGGAGGAACATTTTCCATGTTACCAACAAGATCATCACCACCCTGCTATCATCTACCATCTCCATTACAACTACGGCCACCATTAATACAATCACTATCACCTTTAGTTTCAATATCACAACCAAATGTAAGAAAAGCATGTTCCGGCAAAGCAAATAGAATGCACAGATGCTCATTTTTTTTTTTTTTTTATTAAAAATGATTTTGCATATAGGTTTCTTTTACATTTTTATTTTTATTTTTAAATTCTAGTAGTAACCCCGAAATAAAGGCAATGTCAAGTTTGTATTAGTTGGAATACAAGCTAGAGAGGGTCCAGTTGCATAAAATAAAATAAAAAAATTCAGGAACCAAAACTGAAAGAATCCAGCACCATTTCCCTCTGCTTCCGCCGCCACTTCTCCCTCGAAAACAACTTGGTAAATTAAATGAGCATATAAGGGCGTGGCGACGTGGGGTATGGATACAATGTGACCAGCCCTTTGCATAGCAGTAAACTACATGCTCAAACATCCTAGACTCATTTTCAGAAATCAATCCTGTGGATGTAGTGGAAAGAAGCAGGCACTCACAGACTAAGATGCGAACATAAATAAAATAACATAAAAATCAACACCATTGAAACACACAAGGATTCAACATTTAACACCACCTTTTGCTACAAAATAAAGTCTAAATCGTAGTATAAATTGTCTAATGCTCTCAAGCTAATAACCACAGCTTCAAATCCAAATCCAATTCCTAGTACATGTAGGCTAGCTAACTGGTTTTCATACTAGTGTTTACAAATAACTGTCTCACAATACTCTATTTAGAACTCATTATTCTCACAAGAGACTGAACACATGGACCAATCCACTTCAACCAGATCTTGGCTGCAAATCACAACCATAATAATTAAGCAATGAAAGCATAAAAAATAACAAATAGGGCAGGGAAAAAGAAAAAACTCATAATTAGGATCTGATAAGAGATGAACTGTACCAATGGTGAACGGGAACGAGAGATGTTCCTACTGCGGCTTCGGCTTGGGCTCCTGCTGGGACTGTGCTTTGGACTACTACTGACCCTTTTGTTACGAGAAGGCTGCAGAATACCAATTTCATTTCAGAAACAAAAGATGTGAAGCAACTTCATTCAAGCATGCATATTTTTCCTTTCTTCTATTTATCTATTTATTTTGAAAAAGCACTTTTGTTTGTGGGTGAAAGAGAGTTTGTCAAACTAAAACAATCAAGGATGATTAGATTATACTGACCAATGGTAGTGGGGATCTGGATCTTGATCGAGATCTGCAAAAGTTTCAAAAACAATCCAATTCAATATCCACAACGTTCCTTTAAGACCTTTGTGATCCAAAGGCATCGGTGCCACTTCCACGTTGTAGTTTACCACATTCAAACGCAACAAACAAAATTACTAGAAATCCTTAGCAGCATTCAACAGCAAAGCTTTGAACCCAATGCATATTCAGCCTCATCATTAGGAGAATGATTTTTACCCACCGAGTCAAGCAAAACTAAATGAACCAAATCAAGAGAAGCTAGACCAGAATTGATGCACCATAACATATAATACTAAACGAAAAGCATGAAGAGTGGTCCCATTTGTATCATCGCATGCCACATAGGGAGCCAGAGTGCAAGGCGTAGTTGTTGAAGGAATTTCAAATTTGTCTACGTTGCTGACTTGTGGTTGGTGGTACACCACTAGCATGCACTTCATAGAAATCCAGCTTTAAAACAAAACCATCTTTACTACTCGGGTCTAAGCATGCATAACATATTAGAATTAGTGCACTATCAGGGGTTTGCCAAAGGTGCCCATCAACAAAATTGCATACCTCCACAACCAAATGACTTGCAGGAATTTGAGCACCATTCCCCATCAAGTCCCTAACATGCAATTCCAGATCGCCGCAAAATGCTGGATCTAGAAAACAAACAAGGCAACCTTTTCATAATCATGGCATCATAACCAGGCAATCTGGTACCCTTTCTCAAGTAACCCCAATCCATCTTTGAATAATAAAAAGAAGGAAAAATTACCAATAAGTTCTATTTTGCTATCAAAATTATATGGAGTCCTATTAAGTTTCAATATGACCAACTAAGCGGTTGTTTGGGGTTTACTTATTTAGTGCGGTTTTGACTTTTTATGAAAAGATATGCAGAGAAGTAGACAGATGATGTGACCCAAACAACCCCTAAATCCTATTTGTCATAAAATATTCCCAAAATGTTCATTCCTTCATAATGGTGTATTTTAAGAAGCATGGATCCGGATACATGACATAATATGAATACGACACGGACAAGCCGACACAACAATTCTAAAAAAATATAGGACACAACACATGGAGAGACACACATAAAATATATAATTTTATATATTTATTACATGTCATATCTATGAATATATATATCATTCTAAGCCAATAAATAAATAAATACAATATAATACTAATTTCTATAAATTGATGGGCAAACTTCATTTAACCCCCTTGTGGTTTGGCCCATGTGTGGAATGCCCCCTTGTTATTTGAAAATAACAACATAACCCCCATATGTTTTGTGGACTAAAATGAACACTAACTTCTGTTAACAGAACATGTAAATTGACAATTATACCCTTGTCTTTTTCTGTTTATGAATGTAAGTTATATGCATATATATATTCAACAATTCACCTTTTTCCAAAACGACTTTTTTTAATTTTTTATTTTTTGTTGTCTCCCAATCTGAGAGTGTAGAGAAGCATTGGCAGCCTCCATTTCCGAAGAAACTCCCATCCTTCCTCTTCTCCTGACAGTCCCCCACTTCGCCTCATCTTCATCTCCGGACCTCATTCAGCAGGCCACCTTCTCTTTCCCTCTAGCAGCCAGCTCACTGCTCCACCCCTCCCTCCTCTTCCTATTTTTTTCTTTTTCTTCTCCAATAAGTATAGAATAACTACACCAATAGATATGGAAAAGTAAAAATCAAGAGAGAGAAAGAGAGTTCAAACAGTTGATTTTTGAGAAAATTGGAGGGTAACCATCAAAGAATTTAGACAAAACCATAGAATTCATTCAATGTCACATATATGGTAACAAAGCTACAAATCTTGTTTAAAATAAGAAGAAAAACAATAAAATTGAGAGAGAGGATTAGAGGCAAGCAAAATAACTTTTGAGGATCAACTGGGTAATTGTTGAAGTGAGGCTCTTTCGAGATTGAATTTGCTGCATTTTTCTTTGGGAATGTTTCTGAATTTTAGGTGGAGGGAGGGAGGAGCTTCGCTGGGTTTTCTTGTATTTTTCGTCTGAAATTGAAAGAGTGGAGCAAGTGGCACCGGTGGAAGTGGAAGGGATGATGAGAGGTAGAGGAATGGTAGGTTTGTAATTTTAGAGACTTATTAAAGTGGTTTTGGTCTGAAAAAATGTCATATTCATACCAACTCTCAACAAATGCGTGTGAATTACACTTTTGGTTAGTTTTGACAAAAAATTGTAACTGTGCATTTTAGTCCATAAACCACGTGCGGGTTATGTGGTTATTTTGAAATGATAGGGGGGCAATCCGCACATGGGCCAAATCACGAAGAGGTAAAATGAAGTTTTCCCTAAATTGATATTATTTTTCTTTTATCATTGTATTCTAAGTTATTTTGTTCAAAAGTATAATTAGTTTCATGTGTGTTTAATCATTGGACAAGTGTGTTTAAGCAATGGATTCGTGTGTCTTCCAAGTGTCCAAAGAGTGTCCAAGTCTAATTTCTTTTTAAAAAAATAGGATACGTTTGGATGTGTGTTGAACACGTGTCAGGAAAGTATCCAACGAGTGTTGGTGTGTTTGACACGGACACGGCACCCTTTTAGAAGTGTACGTGCTACTTACAGTGTATCTTATCCCAATTTTATCCCTAATTTAATATGAACAATAATTTTAACTTAATTAAATTTAAAATTTTAATTTTAAAAATTATAAATATTATATTAAAAAATTATAAATAAATCATGAATAAATTATATTATAAATATAAATTTTTTTAGTGTACACAATATAAAGAAAAATAATACTGTAACAAATTTATATATTTCTCAATGCATGAAATAGTTGATGAATCTTATACTTGTACTTTTGTTTATGAAAATTCATTTAATTTCAATAATTAAAAATATTTTTAATATAAATTTTAAACAAAATAAAATATATATGAAATTTTTGGTTAATATTTAATGAGAAAGATAAAATTAAATAAAATATACTACTATGAAAAATTGAACTCTTTTTTAATAATATAAAATAAAAAATAAAATATGACTTATTTATTAATATTAAAATTTAATATAACTCAATAATAATTTTCAAAACATAATTGAACTTCCTGATAATGTTTTCATTGTGATTTATGATTTTTTTTAATTTAATATAACTCAATAATAATTTTCAAAACATAATTGAACTTCCTGATAATGTTTTCATTGTGATTTATGATTTTTTTTAATACAATATCATAATTTTACTTAGATTAAAAATATTTATAAAATTGTTGTTCATATTAAATGAGAAGTAAAATTGGGATAAGATATACCATTATGGAAGAATGAACTTTTCAGGAACATTTTACAACAAATAGGATTTAGTTATCCATATTATGGCCAAGTTTGGGGACTTTAAAAAAAGTCAAAAAGCCAAAAAGTTACTCAAAAAGTTAAAAAGTTAACACTTATTTATTAATATTAAAATTTAATATAACTCAATAATAATTTTCAAAACATAATTGAACTTCCTGATAATGTTTTCATTGTGATTTATGATTTTTTTTAATACAATATCGTAATTTTACTTAGATTAAAAATATTTATAAAATTGTTGTTCATATTAAATGAGAAGTAAAATTGGGATAAGATACACCATTATGGAAGAATGAACTTTTCACGAACATTTTACAACAAATAGGATTTAGTTATCCATATTAAAACTTGATAGGACGCAATAGTAATCTTAAGAGCAAAATATGTAATTTTCCCTAAAAAGAACTGTGCAAAGCAAGAACACTAGAACGGGAAGAAACACGAACAGCATGGGATGTTAAAGCCTCACAAGGTAGAGGGTCTAGATACCAAAACCTTTTTCTTTTTATGCTAAAAAGAACCCCATTCAACATCAAATCAATGAACGACAGTGCATTTGAACAAATGCTGAACTCCGATGGAACAAATCCATATGTTAAAATAAATAAAATGCTGCATGCCATAGAGAGGAACAAAGAAAAAGATATATGCTCCAATTGCTATACAACTTGAAAACACAAATGTGTTTCACTCTAAAATGGCTTCCTTTCTTTTTTTCTTCTCTTTGTGCTCCCCTCTCTCTAGGTGGTGGTTCATTCCGTCAAGATAAGGAGTAAAAAAAAAAAACTGGGGGAAAAGATAATAAAGAAGCTCGGGAGTAGGAAATAGGGTACACACCATTTATTTCCAAATTTAAAAGATGAATATAGGGGAAAATGAATTTGAAGCAAAAAGGAAAGAAGAGAAGAGGTTTTAAAAAATTAGGAGTCTGGTTACAGAGAAAAAATGAAAAGATATAATGGGACTAACTCGATTCCACTTTTACATATTTGTACTTTGTACTCATCATTAAATGCCCCACATTTTCGAGGTAATGGATTCTCTATTTTCTTCTCTAGCTAAACCAATTTCGGAAAAGGAAATTTTTAAGGGCTGTTTGGTAACATTCACATTTTCATTTTTAAAGTTTTCAAAAATGAAGATGAAAAAGTCCAGAAAAAAAAATGATTTTTGAATTATTGTTTAAAAATCAAACAGCTATTTAAAATGGTTTCCTGAAAATGAAACCAAACCAAACGCTGTTGAAGAGTTAATCTTCAAATTAAGGACTATACACCTGACAATGCATACATAGAAACAGAATGTTCAATCATGCATGATTTTGAGGGGGAAAAGAAACCCTCTTCTTAAAAACATGATTCTGGCCCTCTTTGCTACCCCAAAAAAGGTAACTAGAATGAAGAGTATATTAAGGTTCACTGGAATGAAGAATATAATAAGGTTCACTAGAATGAAGAATATAATTTTGGTCGACATGAACTAAACACAAACTTGAGATGCATCAAGAAATCCATAAGAGAATACATTTGAGAGAGAGAGAATAATCGCCAGCAATTACACCAAATTATATAAAAATTATCAGTCAAGATAAAATCTGTCAAATGAGGATAAACAGGAAGTGAACTAAAAACAAACTTGAGATGCATCAAGAAATCCATCAGAGAATACATTTGAGAGAGAGAAAGAGAGAATAATCGCCATCAAAGTCAGAACAGGGAGTTCACCAGCCAGCAATTACACTAAATTATATAAAAATTATCGGTCAAGATAAAATCTGTCAAATGAGGACTAACTGGAGAATTCAGATATATTTGGCAACCCACATAATTAAAAAAGAACAAGAAAAGAATATTCAGACAAATGCAGCAAGGACATATGAGAACTGAGGAAATGAATAACTAAAAAGAATATCATCAACAGCCTCAGGAAATTAAAAAATGAGACTGTTTTAAGGGTATGACTGTAAGAGTGAGGCCAAATCCCATTGTAACCGAAACACACACAAACTACCATCAAAGTAAGTCCACCACATTTTCCATATAATATGAGAACTTCAATACAAACCAAAAAATAAAAAAGTCAAAAAAATCTGTTGAACAAATGAGATGAAAGCATACCTTGATGCAGAGCGAAGAGATGACTCAGAATGAGGCCGTGATGAAACAGACCTCGAACGAGATCTATATGGAGACCGATGAGAATATTTGGCCCTTGGAGACTTACTGCATGACACCTTAATCTTGGTCATCCGCACTAAAAATAAAACCATAACACAAGCTTAACTATCAATAAGAAATAAAGTAAACCTTCTGCTCCTGCTGCTATAGCTATAGCTACGACTGGGACTTCTGCTTCTTGAATAATATGGACTACGGCTGGGACTCCTTGAACCATACTCCATCACCTAGAATTGGTAAGTAGATAGTAAAGTGATGCATACACAACTTATATAAGGGAGAGAGAGAGAGAGAGAGTGAGAGAGAGAGAAGGGGAAAAACAGGCTGATTGCCAAAGCATTAGTGGATTTTTTTATGAGGCATTGTACAGTTGTTTTGACCACAAGATAGTTGTACATGGTTTTAGCAGATGGGTCTCTCAACACATCCGTCATGACATACCCGTATATAAGCCCGAGAAAATTGGTTACGGAACAGAGAATCATCAAGTTTCCTGATCTGCAGAGCGGTTTTCAGAAAATATGTTTATGTTTGTCAACCCCAAGATAGGGATAGGATACAATAACCATAACGAGCTAATATAAAAGTTCACAAATATTTTCAAGTATCATTAGATTCAGAGGAATAAATTTCACTTACCGCATATTTCATGTCATCAGAGTTTGTATAATCTACAATCCCTCTCATGCCTAAAAAATACAGTAACCATAAAAGTCAATTAACAGGTGGTTAGAACAAATGTGTATCTGGTTCATAACTACAACGTGCATATCCAAAAGCAATCAACGACAGTTTCTCAATCAACATACCATTCAGCTCACCAATAGACATATCTAGCTTATGATGAGCTCCATTATCTACAGACATGTACTCAAAACTTGGAACATATGTAAGCTAAAAGGAGCACGTTTTTAGAACATTTGCCTTACTTGTTAAGATATACAATACAAGTCACCTGATTCCAAAATTTGTGAGTATCCCTTTGCCCACCATGAAACCCGTTAGAACTGGGGCAAAATGAGACTTAACAAAACCCAGCCATGTGCATTTAACAACTGGGCATCAAATTTCACAATAGACAAACGTAAAACACATAAGAACAAGTTGGCACACAGAGAAGAATTCTTGGCATTTAGTGGTGCACATTGTAACACATGAAAGACATGACCACCCAACAAGTACGGACGCAAGCACGAGACACAACACAAGCACGCTGACATGACAGTTCCCAAAAATGTAAGACATGGATGATGTGTAGGCCAGCACTGTTAGAACTTTAAAACTGAATTTAAATATTTTTTATTTTATTGTGGTTTCAAGCTGTAAGTAAGGGGAAATTTAGGGCTTCTACTAGCGTATGGAAGAAATCGGGGTAAGGCTTAATGAATAAGAAGGAATATTGATTTTGGGGGCTGTTTTGGGTGCTGTGAACAGTGTTTGGGATGTGAAAGTGCTGAAATTTAAGAAAGAAAAACAAAGAAGAAGGTAGTTTCTAAGAATCACTCCTAAAGGCCTTAGGCATCATACCTAGCGTTTGGTTGCATCACACAATAAGTAAAAAAAGCTTCAAAAGCACTGATAATTCTCTAAAATATCAACTCTATTGAATTAAAAACATTACATGACTTTATATAGATCAACTAGGATACCGAAATAGAAAACTACTAAAATTTTGACCTTCAAAACACATCTAAGACCAAATAAGAAACATAAACAAAAACCAATTAAATAACTTGATCCACAAGGCGGCCCCTAGGCAACCCCTACAGTCCATGTCAGCAAATCTAAAACTCAACAAAACACCCGACCTAAAAATCATAAATAGCTTAAAATAATCATAAAATAAAACTAATTATACTAGAAACATGATTATGTAGGTTCCTATCGGCTTCTCTTTGAAATCTTGCCAATTTCCAAATATCATTGCTTCTTTGAATTTTATTTTCCTTGAGCCTCTTGTAGTCTGCATCAACAAAACTACTGCCTAAAGTCTAATAAAGGAGGAGAGTTTAATTCATATAAATCTACATTGTTTTATTTTAGCATTTGGATCACAAGTTATTTTGTTTAAACTTGTAATGTGTTTTGTATGTATTTAAGTGCATGCACGTGTATCGCCCAAGTGTCCGATGCATGTCCAAATATTAAAAAATAAAAATAAAATAAACAATAAGACACGCTTGTATGTATCCGATACACGTCATGAAGCGCACAACACAAACACATCACCTTCTTAGAAGTGTCCATGCTATTTAGACCATCGCTAAAATTATCATTAAGCTATGTCCTTTATTTAATGCAAAAAAATTATATATATGCGCTAAGAAGCATTAACACGAACATGCAAAACAACAAATATATCACAAGTTGATGCGATATTTTTCAAAAAATGTAAAATAAGCTCACAACACCACATGTATAAATGTTATAGAACCAATTCCAAATGTTAACAATTTTTATTGATCATTTACCCTATAAGAAACAAATGTTGCTAATTTTAGTTTCAAAATTGCCACATTATTTTCCAAACACATTACCTAACATCAATGTGCTGATGCACCTTCATTCAAACATGAATACAACATTCTGCTAAACATATACATGTTTTTAAGTCCCATTCTACTACTATTTGTTGTTGCCCGTTAAGGGCATTAATCTACACCTACATGATAAATGCACCTTTCTTTAAACATGTAATTGACCTCACTAAACATAAGTAATTGCCCTGTGTAGCATCAAAGAACCATTTAAAATTGTCTCTTGGAGTAAAGGCACACATCCATCATAACATCAACAAATGGACACACGTAATTCAACTTACCATCACGATCACGAAAAACTTGAGAGAAGCAGACATCCCCAGCTCGACGCATGTGATCCTAGAGAACAATAATGTATTATAGAACCCATCCTATTAGCAAAGACAACAGGTGGCTGTGCATATATGTGGCTTTTTTTTGGGGGATGGGTGTTTAAAAAGCTACCTCCAACAGACAAGTGGAGAGAATTTATGCTCACCTTCAGGTCTTGCCATGAAGCAGAAGAAGGTAATCCAGTGACCAAAACTGTTAGGCAAAGCAATACAATTAATGTCTAATTGCAGCAATACAATTAGAGAGAGAGAGAGAGAGTTGGGGGAGGGGGGGGGGGGGGGGGGGGGAGTATGAACCACGATAGTCAGAACGCCTAGAAACTCCACCACGACTACTACCACCACTATAGCTACTGTAGCGATCAACTGATGACGATCCTCGCCCGCCATGTGCAAGTTCAACCTATGTATACACAAATAAAACACAAGGTAAGATATTGAACAACAGAGCAACACCAATGTGATAAAAGTGACACAATTGCAAGGTATTAGTAATTTAAAACTAAGATGGATGACTTACTCTTAATCGATTTCCATCAAAATTATAGCCATCACGGCCGCGAATGGCATCTTCAGCATCGCGATAATCTTCAAACTGAAATATATATAACCAAATAAAATTTGAGAGAAATGACCCCCCCCCCCCCAAAAAAAAAAAAAAAAAAAAAAAAAAAAAAACAGAGTGGAGAAGAATGTGACTGAATAATAATCAAACCACTTGTTCAGTTCTGAAAGAAACATTTGTAAATGTCAAAAGCTATCATTATCTACAGAAAACATGACACCATGACTTAATATCAACATCCTAGAGTAATTCTAGATATGTTTTAAAATTTGAACTCACCTCCACAAAGGCATAACCAGGAGGTCTTGGAGGGATTTTCAGATCAATATCAACAATGCGCCCGTACTGCAATGAAACAACCAACAACTATTAAAGTTAATAAACACTTGATAAGGTATAATAATTTCTTAAGGATGCCAATCTACATGGTCCAACGAGTGTGTTAGAAAGAATGAAGTCCTAGCTACATTCAAACTGAACCACTGTCACTGGATGAGCAAACCTTATGCTACAAAATACCATCCCAAAGCTTTTGACATGCTAATAGGGTCAATTGGAACAAGTGAATTATTTTTATTATTAAAAAAATAATAACTTTCAAAAAAATTCCCAAATCAGGCACAAAAAATGGTTTATAGTAAAGAGAAAAAAGAGGCTAAAAAAATAAAGGGTAAACTACCAATAGATCATAATACTTGGACTTAATTCCCATAAAAAAATGTTTTATAGTAAAGAGAAAAAAGAGGCTAATAAAATAAAGGATAAACTACTAATAGGTCCTAATATTTGAACTTAATTCCCATAAAGTCTTGTTGAAAATAACTACTAGTAAAATCGTCACTAAAAATCATTTTTTGTGACGATTTTTTGCGTATGTCGCTAAAAATTAACAGTTAGTTACTTTTTTTTGTCACGATTTTTATAAATTGTAGCTAAAACTAGTAATTATACTTTCTGTGATGAATTTTTCAAACTGTCGCTGAAAGTTGAAAATTAGTGACTTTTTTGTGACTTTTTTTAAACTAGTGACATTTTTTTTGACAATTTTCAAACTGTCACTGAAAATTAACAATTAGTGACGTTTTTTAATAGTGTTTGATGAAAAATGCCGTTAATTCTTACAGAACCTATTAAACAATAAGTCCAACTATTAAGACCTACACGTAAGTCTCCCTAAAATAAACTTCACATAACGCATTAAGTTATCAAAAGTGTACCAAGGCCCCCACCCCTTTTGGGATATGCTTTACTTTCAAATAACGCCTCATACTTTCAGACTTTAAATTCTATTCATACTTAGTGTTGTGACTTGTCTTTTGCTAAATTTAGTAAAAAGCAAAAACAAATCCAAAAACAAACATAATATATATATATATAACGAAACTTGTGAGTATAAAAGCTAGTTACTTTGTCTATCATTAATACCAAATAGTCAAAAAATGTCTAATAAGGTAAAACCTCATTGAAAATAGCAAAGTGTTATCTTAAATAGCAAAGTGTTATCTTAAATATGGATGGCATGTGTGTAGGCATGCAAATTTTTAGCAAATTACAAATTGCCACATATTTTAAAAGACCTACAAATATGACCCTATTATTAGCAAAACAAGTGCTGTGACATGTGTAATAGGTCTCAATTACATATTACATGAATGGCCGAACCACAAGTAGCCACATGTCAAAATAATGCAGTTTTCAAGATAATAAGTCTTGGATGAATTAAAATAAGCCACTTGGCCCATGGGACCTGTAGGAGGAGATAAATATTTCCTTCAATCAAATTGGGCTATGTCTTCAAATAAATATTGATTTTTAACTCTTCAAAATAAATAAACAAAGGGACATGAAACAGACCGTTGGAGTCAAAATCGAGTCAGGTTAGTTGGATTTTGCGGGTGATTCATTCCCATGAACAGCCCTAGTACAATGTGTATTTAGGCCTATCAATGTTCATGCTTACGATTGTTTGGCTTTAGTCGTATGACCTTTACATTTTTAAACCAATTACAACTTGAGTCAACAAAGTGTTGTGCCAACTAGTTGTTCAGCCAAATGAAACATATCTCACCCTCTATTGTATAGTTCTATGACTTCAATTAAAGACACGCACCGCCATGTTTTTCCTCACTAACTCAATCGACATTAGTTTTGGTCTTCCCTTCTTTCAGCAGTCACAATGAGGCTTGTCTTTCTTCCTTATTCAAGTAGATAGTCTTCATTCCTTGTAGGTAAACTATTTTACTTAGTTTTCTGTTATTTTACTCCTTGCAAATGTGACCACCTCTAATTTTAACTTCCTCGTCTAGCCACTTATCAGTCAAGTGCGATCTTGAACAACTTCTATTTCTTTGGTCGCCAAAGAAGTACTTGATGATCAAGCTTTATTTATTTATTGACTACTTTTTGTAAGTGAATATATAAGATCTTCAAATGTCTTTAAAAAATAAGATGAAACTTACAAATGTTAATTGTGTGAGCTCTAAATAAGAAAGTACTTCCATACACTTTGTTATCATTAGGGCATGAAGTAGAAAACCAAAATAACCTATTGGGAGGAGGATAATTAGCAGGGAAGCAATGCTTTCTAATTAAGATGCTTGGGACTTGGAAGATGATGCTAACACTATATGGAACTCGATGGCCAATTGTATAAGGAGAATCTCAAGGGAAGTGTTTGGAGAGTCGAAAGGAACGGGACCTAGCTCTAAGAAAACTTGGTGGTGGAAGGAAGAGGTTCAAGCGGCAGTTAAGGCAAAAAAAGAGTGTTTTAAAAAGTGGCAGAAGGATAGAACTGAGGAAAACCTTAAAAGCTATAGATTGGCTAATAAGAAGGTTAAGAAAGTAGTGAAATAAGCTAAGTTGAAAATTTATAATGACTTGTACACTAGATTAGATAGTAAGGAGGGAGAGAAAAGGGTGTACAAACTTGCTAAGATACGAGAGAGGAAAACAAAAGATTTTAATCAAATTAAGTGCATCAAGACTGAGGATTCTAAGGTATTGGTGAAAGCTAAAGAGATTAAGGAAAGATGGAAGAACTATTTTGAGAAATTATTAAATAAGGAACATGGAGATACGTCAATAGGGGAAGAAATAGCTAGTAATACGATAAACCAATACTACAGGTTCTATCGCAGGATTAGGAACTTTGAAGTGGAGATTGCACTTAAGAAGATGAAATCAAATAAGGCTTTAGGACCCGATGATATCCCTTTGAAAGCTTGGAAGTGTTTGGGTAAAAAAGAGGTTGCCTGGTTGATCAGGTTGTTTAGCAAAATTTTGTTGACTAGAAACATGCCAGATAAGTGGAGGAAGAATATTTTAGTGTCAATCTATAAGAATAAAGGAGATGTCCAAAATTGCAACAACTATAGAGGAATCAAACTAATGTGTCATATAATGAAAGTGTGGGAGAGGGTGATGGAACTCCGATTGCGAGATATAATACAGGTGTCAGAGAATCAATTTTGATTTATGCCTGACAGGTCAACAATGAAAGCGATTTATCTGTTGAGGAGAGTAATAGAAAAATATAGAGAAAAGAAAAGATGCATTCATATGGTGTTCATCGACCTTGAAAAAGCATATGATAGAATATCTTGGGATATAATATGGTGGGTGTTAGAGAAGAAAGGAGTGACAAAAGGTTACATTAATGTGATTAAGAACATGTATGAAGGGGTAATGATCACTATTAGATCGCCTGCTGGAGAGACAAATGAATTTCCTATCACTGTAGGGTTACACCAAGGATCTATCTTAGGCCTTATCTTTTTGCATTAGTTATGGATGAGTTGACGAGAAATATTCAGGATGACGTGCCATAGTATATACTTTTTGCAGATGATATTGTGTTAGTGGACGGAAATAGAGAAAGAATTAACACAAAGTTAGAGATTTGGAGAAAAGCACTTAAATTTGAAGGATTCCGGATAAGCAGAACTAAGACAGAGTACATGGAGTGTAAATTTAGTAACAGTAACAATGAAAGCCGAGGAAAAGCGAAGATTGAGAACTAAGAACTGCCAAAAAGTGAACATTTTCATTATTTAGGGTCGATTGTCACAACGGCGGGGGAGATTGATGCAGATGTGACCCATAGGATTAAGGCGGGATGGCTTAAGTGAAAAAGTGCGTCTGGGATACTGTGCGATAAACGAATACCCACTAGACTAAAAGGTAAGTTCTATAGAACGACTATTAGACCAGCAATGTTATATGGGACGGAGTGTTGAACAACCAAGAAACAACATGTAGATAAGATGAGTGTTGCTGAGATGAGGATACTAAGGTGGATGTGTGGCAAAACTAGACAAGACAGAATTAGGAATGAGTCTATCCAGGAATGGGTTGGAGTGTCACCGATAAAAGATAAGTTAAGAGAGAATCGATTAAGATGGTTTGGTCATATTCAACGGAGACCAATAGAGACAGTAGTGAAGAGATGCGATGTAGTGACGGTAGCTGAAAGTGGTAGGGGACCGGGTAGGCCTAAATTAATATTGGCTAGCGTTGTAAATAGAGATATGGATCTACTTAATTTGACTAACGAAATGTCATTTGATAGAGCCGCGTGAAGAAGAAGGATTCATGTAGCCGACCCTATTTGATGGGACTTAAGGCTTGGTTTGATTTGGTTTAAGTGTTTCAACATAAGCCATGCCAAAAAATAAAATAAAACAAAATAAGGATATCAACTACGAATTGTTATAAAATAAAACCACAACCAAGGTTGAAGAATCAAAAAGATTGCTAGCAAAAACTAAACTTAGATATGACCAATTGCACCATTTTTTTGATTGGTTAATTATGCAGTATGACAAATTGATATAAAAAGCTCTTTAAAAAATGGGTAAATTACACTAACCTCCCTTGAGGTTTGTAGAAAATACAAGAAGCCCACAGTTTTAACATAATTACATTGACATCCCTTTTAGTAAAATTAAAAAGACCAAAACTAGTGCAGATGAGATGACGACACAAAGATACACAAGATAAAATATACATTTCAACGTCAAAGAGATGACAACATCATTTTTTCATTCATAAGACTAACAACATGCTGATAAAAATGAGGGCAAGTATTAAATGAATTAAAACCTTAAAACAACTGGTGTAATTATGCCAAACTTGTGAGTTTTACAGTATTTTCTCCAAACCTCAAGCGAAGTCAATGTAATTTAACCTAAAAAAAAAATGTAACTACATAGATGGAATTTGATTCCGTTATAAAGGGATAGATGCAGCATTCAAGTACTGGTCGTCAGATCATGTGTGTATGTGGATTGCATGTTCATGCATGTGTGTGTGAAAAAACAAAAAAACCTACACTAGATCTCATTCAAAGAACACCTAATTACAATTTTTTATTATTTTTTTCTTTTTTCCCTAATTTTTTCTATGCTAACCCAGTGGCAACAAGGACAACGCACATCAACAAGTGATGGATTTTACTCGTAGCATATAATATAATGAAAACATGTGAAACAGTGCAAGAAGTTTGCTATTAACAGTATAGAGTAAAAAAATTTAAAAAGAAAGGAAGAAACAAGAAATATAACCGAACCTTGTAAAATAGATCCTCTACTTCTCTCTCACGAATATCACCAGGAAGATTGCCAACATAAAGAGTTCGGCTAGCACGGCTGCTCATTTTTTTCTGAAACCATCACAAAATTTGGGTAAGTTAATACAAAATTGGTTTTGAAGGTAAACTACATCAACAGCCTGTATAAAGAAGTAATATAGATAGCTATGCAGAAAATAAAATATGCTTAAAATAGTAAATATTTTTAGGGCAAACTTCACTTTACCCCCTATGGTTTGGCCATGTGCAATTTACCTCTCTAAAGTTTGGAAATAACCGCATAACCGCCTTGTGGTTTGTGATTGAAGTGCCCCGTTAAACATTCTGTCCAATTTACCAGCAAGTGTGAAACACGTGGCAGATATAAAGGGGCTATATACTCATTTTCAAATTTCAAAAGGGTAAATCGCAAATGGAATAATGCACAGGGGGTTAAAGTGCACTTAGTCTTCCAAACAAATGACGAAAATATCAATAGTTCAAACAATAAAGTTACTTATATACAGGGGCATTTTAGTCTTTTCATTAAATCGTTAACGGGTTTAATAATGCACTTCAGTTCACAAACCACAAAGGGGTTATGTGGTCATTTCCAAATGTTAGAAGGGTAAACCGCACATGGCCCAAATCAGGTAAAGTGAAGTTTGCTCATTTTTTTACTTAGAAATTCACAATAATATTTTTTTCAATTAAAAAGTCATGGTAAATGAAAATATTAGGGGAATGGGAAGACTTAAACTAACATCAAATGCATTAATAAAAAATTATATGAATTTTTTTAATTAACTAAGCATATAACCCTTGACATAATGGAATGGTAGGAAAATAATTCATTAGGATTCTTGTAGAAACAACTACATTTGATTAGAACAGAACGTAGTTTGGCATGGTTTATAAACTCATAAAACACAAGAATTAAACTGCATAAAACACAGCATCAAAACTGCCATAAAAGTATTTACTTTAAAGTAAACCCTATATTTGGCTTAAAGAAGACAATTTAACATATATTGACAAAACAAAATCTACCTAAATGCATAGACATAAACTACCGTAAAATGTCACCTAAACGTAGAAAATAAAATATGCTCAAAAAAATTAATTATTGATAAATTAGAAATTCACTATTATTATGCTGCTTACAATAATTAGCATGCATATAAGTCGACAAAAAATTCCATAATTAGTTAGGATTAATTACACTTTACCCCCTTGTGGATTTACCTGAAAACACATTACCTCCTTGAACTTTAAAAATGTAACCTTAACCTCCCTGTGATCTGCGGTAAACTGTGAGGCTCAACTATTAACGAATTTTACAAAATGTCTATATTGCCCTTATTTTTTCTCCAATTTTCTTGTCTAAGCCACAATCGCTAGAACTTCTCTTCCTCTCTAGAAATTATACAACATCACAAACCCTTTCCAAACTCCCGTCATACCCAAATCCAAATCCATTGCAAATAACACGTCCCAAACCCAAACACATCTTCTTTCCTCCTAAAAACAAGTCCATATAGATACTAATGGTGTTTCCTAAAACTTTTGCAAGACGTAACATTTTGAATTTGATGATTTTCGATTTCAATATATGGCTTAAAATCTAATAAACCAAAGAAACATTTTCAATTCCTAACTATACAAATATGAACAACGGTTGCATTGAAGTTGCTCCTGTGCATTTAGTTAACGTCTCAAAGAAAAGAAAAGAAAATCTTTTATTTTTCTCTTAGTTTTTATCTCCAGATCATTGTTAAAAAGCAGGTTATCATTACGTGTGTGCGATGATACATGTGGATTGACAGGTATTGGCTCCTTTGGAGTACTTGATTGAGAAAGTTGGGGCTTGTGTGTGTGTGTAATGATAAGGAGAAAAGGTGGCTTTAGAAATGGTGGGCTTGGGTTGTTGGAGAAAGACAAGGAGATGAAAGGGGTAGATGGAGGGTGACCTGTGCTGCAGTGAAGCCATGAAGGGAAGGAGGTGGACGGATGAGGAGAAGAAAAAAGAAGATAAAGAAAAGGGAAAGGGGGCAAAAGCGCCACTTATTCAATTATGTCTTGCTACATGCGCTTAATTTGCTGTTAATGTTACTTTTGCACTTTAATTCGGAATACAAGGAGGTTATATGTATATTTTAGGACCATAAGGAGGTAATGTATTTTCAAGCTAAGCCACGGCATCTCCAGCAATGCTACGTAAAATAGCTATTCAAAATTCACTTTTTCTATTTTACCTATCCACTTTTTCAATACACATTCCAACAATACTCTGTACATTAACTACCTTTTTTAACTATTTTTTTCTTTATAAACATAATTATATTTTTCAACCAATCATTTTTTTTTGGGGGAAAAATACTATATTTTTTTTATGGTCATATTTTTTTGCAAGAGCCATTAATTTTTCATATATATATATATGGAAGTAAGGCCAAGTTTGGCAACCTAAAAATAATCCATTTTTTTATCTTTTTTCCATCACATCACCTCTCTACTTTTCTGCACATCTTTTCGTAAAAAGACAAAAAGTCTCCTTATTTAGGTCATCCCAAACAACCCTTAATACTCCATTTGTCATTTTGTGTATTACATTTTTCTTATCAGGCACATAGTGGTTGAATATGAGTAAATCTCAAGTAAGACCTATTATATTAATGATTATGAATATATCATCATATAGTAAGTAAAATATAATAGAAAATATGATCAATCTAAAATTATTATTAGTTTTTAAATCTCAGAATCAAATATTTTGTAGTGTGAGGTTATGGATAAATAAAAAATTTTGCAATAGCATAGCATAGCATAGATTAGATATAAAAGAATATATATATATATATATTAAATGTTAGCTTGATCAACAATGAATTCACTGCAAGTAAAATAATAATAAATAAATAAATAAATAAATAAAAAGCTCCGCATTAACCCAATTAGTTATGAGGACAAACTCTCATACATGAGGAATAAACCAAACACAAGTGTACAGAACAAGGAAAAAGATCATTATTTGCAGCGTGTTTTTTTTTTTTCTAATGAATGCAAAAACCCTAAACCCATTTTTCATAAATGTAAAGCTTAAAAGGAAAGACGAATACACAATCCAGGAGTAAAGATCAGTTATAAAAACAAAGAAATTCAACGAATCAATAAGTCTAATCAACAAGCACTCAAACAAAAAAACAAAAAAGGAGGGATTCTATGTATGAACAATTTAAGAGAAACGAAGAAACAAATAGTAGGTTTGATTTTGATTAAAAAAATTGTTAGGTTTGATGATTTGATTGAGGAGATAATGAGGATATACCTGATAGAGAAGGGAGTGAACGAAGACGCCCAGAAGTGACGAACAGAGAGGAGGTTAGAGGAGGAGGTTCGAGAGAAAGTCGTAACGGGAGTTGGATTCTGTACGTCTCATCCCTATGTAAAGTTTAAGGGGCAGGTATATGACCTTAAAAACAAAAAAAATAAATAAATAAAATTAGGGGAAATAACAAAAAAAAATTATGAAATTTTTTATTAACATTAATGATAAAAATTTTAAAATTTTCAATGTATTTGTAATATTTTTTTTAAGAAAAAAAAAAAAAAAAAAAACACAAGACTTCGTTTGATTTAATTTTGAAATGTAATTTCAGAAAAGGGTTTGTAAAATTTGAAAAGTTGTTTGGTATATATTTTAAAAATAATTTTGAGATGATTTTTTTTTTTTTGGGGTAGTTTAATAGATGAGTGTAAGAGAAAATTAATTGATTGATGTGTAAAATATAAAAAAAATGATAAAGAAGAGATGACATAAAAAAATGTAATTGATTAATGTATACAAAAAAAAAAAAAAAAGGGGGTTAGAGGAGAGGGAAAAAAAAAAATTGTAAACCAAACATATTTTTCAATCTAAAAGTTGATTTAAAAACTAAACCAAACACTGTCTTAGTAAAATATGGGATGTAACTCTTTGTGGCCTTATTTGGTGCAATTTATTAGAAATTAAAAGTTGGTAATCATAAATACATCAACTTTTAGATTATCAACTTTTTTTTTTTAACTTGTTTAAATTAATTATGCCTAATAAGTTATAAGCAGAAAATGTATCAAACAATCAAATACAAACTCTCAAATTAAAATAAGTAATAATTATCTCTTTTAAATTGTAATAAGCACCCGTTGTTGAAGTAGGCGCATACATTCATTGAACTAGGCTAACACTACATAATAACAATTTTTGTGTTTGCCCAAGCCCGTTTAACCCTAACATTTGGCCTCTATATCTGCTCAAGTCCAATCAAAAAATAATTATAAATTTCAAACTCACCCATAAGGCTAATGTCAAAAAATAAAATATTTTATAATTAAATTAAATTAAATCACACATTATATATTTTTAAATAAATAAATTGATATCATTATAAATTGAAAGATTTTATGTATAAATTAAAGAATTTTTTAAATAAATTCAATCAAATATCATCACAAATGTGAATTTCAATAAAATCAATAAATATAAGTCTAACTCCTTATAAAAAATATATTATTATTAATTAATTTAATAACGGATCAAACTGAGTTAAAAGTATAAATCTCAAACCTAACATATTAATATATTAGGCTGAAAATATTGATCTAACCAACTCTATGAACTGTAACAATATTTTAAAATTCTAAAAAAATAAGACGAGACATGCCAACCGCCGATGCACACCACATATTGAAGTGCATCTCTTTAGGCTCTAATGCTGTGTTCGGTTGGGAGATTAAGAGATGGATTTAAAAATAAAAAGAAAAAAAATGTATGAAATTAGATGAAACGTTGATACATTTTATTTTCATTTCACATGCCTTTTTTCTTTTTCTTTTCAAATCCTCTAACTAAATATAGCGTAAATGTAAATAGCACACAAAGTGCAAATGAAAGAAACATATGTGACTAAAGAGGAACAAAAATTTGTGATCACTAATTTATTAGTTAGATAAAAAAAAAGAAAAAGGATATTATCATTTTTTAATTAAAATTTGTGATCACTAATTTATTAATTTCGAATATATTTATTCATCATCTATATTTATTTCAAGCATTTTTTTTTTAAAAAAAAGTATAATTTATATATTTATTTATTTTTATTATTATTTTTTTTATATCATCCGGGTAGGACTTATTTTGGGTCTCACGGGTCAAATAACTCGATTATGGAATAAAATCATACCATACAATATAACAAAATTATAATTTAATAGAAATTTAATTAAAAAAGTTTTATATTAATAATAAATTTTATAAATCTTAATGATTAAAATCTTAATTTTTTTATAAAAATTATTTTCCGAGA